CTGTGCTAACTCTGGGTGATTAGTGCTCAAATTGAATTAAATTGCAGGATACCCAGTTGGTGTCCAAAGAGAACCGGAGAATTGCTTGGTGTGGAAAATCCACTCATTTGGTGTCAGAAATTGTAAGCAGAGGGAAATAAGTTTTCCTTTAAGCATTTTTTGTTAATGGTTTCAATGAGAGCTTTGATGACCAAATAGACCAAACTGAACAAACTAGAAAGTGATAGAAAGCTAAAAGGGATGTCAAATCAAAATCTAAAACTATCTTAATTCAGAATGATGACTGAGAAATGACAATTTAGTAGGAATAATAAACATAACATATAAACCTTGGGTCCAAAAACACAACTGCACAGGAACAAATGAAGGAAGATGTGGCTTAATAATAACATCTAACAATAACAACAAAGAACTTAAAAGTTTTAGTTAACCATTAGCTCTACATTAGCAATGTTACAAGTTAATGTAGTCCTTAGGCTCTGTAATTATAATGTCCAGAATTTCTAGTTCAAGATGACAGAGCACAAGCATCTACTTCTCCAGACTTCCCTGGTGGTCCAGTGGTTAAGACTCCACGTTCTTAACTCAATGCAGGGGGGCCCAGGTTCGACCCCTGGTTGGGGAACTAAGATCCCACATACCGCAACTAAGCCCGTGCACCACAACTACTGAGCCCGCACGCTGCAACTAGAGAAATCCTCGCACTGCAATTAGAGAAGCCTGTGTGCCGCAATGAAGACCCAGCACAGGCGAAATAAATAAATAAATAAATAAATAAATAAATAAAATTAAAAAAAAAAAAGCATCTACTTCTCCTTCCTAAAGGCCCATTAAAAATGACAGGAAGAGGGAATTCCCTGGCTGCCCAGTGGTTAGGACTCTGCACTTTCACTGCCAAGGGCGTGGGTTCAATCAAGCCACATGGAGTGGCCAAAAAAAAAAAAAAAAAAATGACAGGAAGAAAATAACTGCCTCACTGGAAAACACGGAAAACGTATCACCAGACCAGAAATTTTAAAGAATACCTTGAAATTGGCCAAGGTAGGATCAGGTAGGTCCTATCAAACCACAGTCTAATATCCTAGAGGTAAAAATGATTGTCTTCCTCAGAGAGTTCCAAACTCCAACCTCATAAATATTGTTACCCTGTTAGACTTTTCATTTGTTAATATAATTTAATTCTCATAATTACTTTGTTAAATAGGTACTACATGCCCATTTTTCAGATGAAGAAGCTGAGGCTTAGACAAGTTACATAATAATACAGCTAATAAATGGTGAAGACAGAATTTGAACCCAGTTAGTCTGAATCTTGAGTTTGTATTTTTAGCTATTATGCAGATATAGGCCAAAAGGTAATCCACCAGAGTAACTCATTAAAGTGCTACACTGAATGCAGCTGGCACAGTTGGGCCCTCTCCCCCTATTCCCTCAGGTAAATACAGCAGTTCATGTCTTCAGTTCCTGGATTAAACCTTGATAACTCCCTTCTATAAAACGCGTGAGGGACTTCCCTGGTGGTCCAGTGGTTAAGAATCTGCCTTCCAATGCAGGGGATGCAGGTTTGATCCCTGGTCGGGGAACTAAGATCAAACATGCCACGGGGCAACTAAGCCTGTGCACTCTAGAGCCCACACGCCACAACTAGAGAGCCCATGTGCCGCAGATACTGATCCTGCACTCTGAAGGCCATGCGCCGCAACAAAAGATCCCACGTGCTGCAACGAAGATCTCGCGTGCTGCAACTAAGACCCGACGCAGCCAAATAAATAAATATTAAAAAAAATAAAATGCGTGAAGTCTGTCTAGACTGCCTAGAGGGCCTGAGAGAGGAGGAAAGATGCATGAGTTCATTGCAGATCCCCAGATAGATATGGAGGAAGAAAAAATTTAAAGGAAAGGAAGATCCACACTAAATAAATGATACTACCACCAGAAATAAGGTTCCTTACTTCAGCAGCTGTGGGGATTCCAGACTACCTGCTCCAAGACATTTCTTACATTTCTTACAAGGAACTTTGCCACAAAGAGTTCACAGTCAATCCTCCCATTCAAAGAACATGAGGCAATACAGCATGGTGGTTTATGGACTCCAAAGGCAGCTGCCTGGGCCCAAATCTAAGTTCTGTCACTTAATAGCTATGTAACTCTGGGGAAGTAATTTAATACCTCTGTACCTCTCTCCCCATCTGAAAAATGAGGATAACTATACTTACCTCATAAAAGTTGTAAGGATTAAGTGACATAATTTTTACTTAGAATTGTGCCTGACTCAGAGAAGAAACTATGGGCCTTACTTAGCAAAGGCCCTGAAACATGGTGACATGCAAACAATGGTAGCTGTCAAATATTAAGTCCAGGGGGAAAGGAGATAAATTAGATGACTGCTAAAAAATCTTCCAACCTTGAAAACCTATCAAATTCTTAGGAGAAAAAAAAAATTGATTTTATCAAATAAGACAAAGCAAATTCCAAAACAATAAAGTATTCACTGAAGTCAGATCAATACGTGGTTTAAATTCACCCCTGAGCCTCTGAAGGCATTTGTTAACCTCTCTTTATTTATGACTACTAATTTTAAGTTGCCTCTCATTAATATACATTAAATGTGTAAAATGAATTTGGAGTTAGAGAATGAGGAGAGTTAACTGACTTCTAAGCAATTTGGATTAATATCAAATAACAGATATAACAGAACTACTTCCCTACTAGAGTCCTGGCCATAGATTCAGCTCTTTGAATCCAGAAGTTCCAAAATGGAAACTTGCGATATAGAAGAACATCCAAATAATTTCCAAGAAGGAACAAAATACAACAGCTTCATGTCAACTGGAATCTCCAGGGCAATAACAGGCCAAGGTACTGCTAGGCTGCAGGGAAAAGCCAGCCAGCCTAGTAGTCACTGACAGCTCAGGTTAAGACATGGGTGAGGTCAGGAACTTATTACAAACCTAAGCTAACCAAATGGTAGATTGATTATGAGTCCCACTCTAGAAATCCTACCCATTTAGAGTTCCAAATTAACAACAATTTCCTCAGAAACAACTTGAAGGCCCCAGAAATTAAGCCATTTTCCCAGGGGTCTTCTTGTCCAGATGCAATGTGAACCCAAAGCAGACCCTCTGGGCAATACCCAAAAAACCTTTATTACCTAATAAACTGAAGAAATCAGAGATGGATTCCACCAAATTCTATGGACAGTAGAAAAAAGAAAAAAGAAACTTTGGGCATGCCAAACAGAATGAAATCTGAGATGCATACTAGAAGACCAACAAGTACAAGAACTACACATCTACATGATCCTTATCATGAGGCTAGACAGAAACTGCAAGCAGATTAGAACAGTGAGTGCAAAGCCTCCATTCCTAGAATAAAAGAATGAAAGTCTCAGGCCCTCTTCCTCTTCCGTCCTTATATTTATAATTTTGTCCTACTTCTTTTTTCTCTGTGGCTTTCCTTGCTACTTAACCACTTTGCTATCTCTTCTAGTTGTTCCATTCCCATTTTTACATTTGACTTCTTTTAAAAATGTTTCTGGAAGGGGGAGGAATTAGATTGGGATTGACACATATACACTACTGATACTATGTATAAAATAGATAAATGATGAGAACATACTGTATAGCACAGGGAACTCTACTTAATGCACTGGGGTGACCTAAAGGGGAAGGAAATCCAAAACAGAGGGGATATATGTATAGCCGATTCATTTTTGCTGTACAGTAGAAACACAACATTGTAAAGCAACTATACTCCAGTAAAAATTCATTTTCAAAAATGCTTCTCTCTGTTCTTTTTCCTACTTACTATCATAAATGCCATTCTAATAAGTTATAAAAGAAATTGTGTAAAACAATATACAAATAGAAACCTTTGACAAATTCTATTTGTTGACATGAATACTGTCTACTTTTCTTCTGGCCTGAATCTCCATGTCAAAATATTATACCTATGCCAAAAGCAGAGAAACTTTTAAAAAACTATTCATTCAAGTCTAGTGAATAATTTTTGGTGACAGTAACAGTATGAAAAAGCAAAGACTGAAATTAATGCAGAGGTTTCACATAACCCTCACTGTAACATATAGACAGAAATTCATAATTCTAATACAAGTGAAATCTTTTACCTAAATTCAAAATATATAAATATGTAAACATCTCAAAATGCAGCCACTTTCAGTACTTCATGTTCAGAAATAAATGTGGAAAAACTTAACAAGCCTTAACAATTTTTCTTTATTAGAAAACAAAATTCCTCCTCAAATAAAAAAATTTAAATTACTTTTAACCAAAAAAATATATAATGTAATTTTATTTTATTTCATTCTTTGGATGACTTACTGAAGTCAAGGAAGCTTTTTTTTGGCCACGCTGGGCAGCTTCCAGGATCTCAGTTCACCAACCAGCCCAGGCCATCACAGTGAAAGCCCAGGATCCTAACCACTAAGCCACCAGGGAACTCCCGGAAGCAATTTTAATCATTCTTTCCTTGGAAGACGTCACTTAAGAAGTCTTTTCAAAGTTCTTTTTTCTTTAAAGTAGGAAACAAAGGTAATGGTATATATTGACGTATGTATTGACTACTTACATCAAAATGTAGCCTGCAACTGAAATTGCATCAAGAAATAAGAGGGACTTAAAATACTTTAAATGTAAGTCATGAGCTACATGCCTGTTTCTGAGGTAGTGTGTCTCTGTCCCATTTTTATATTATTATTTTTTTCCTCCCTCTAACACTTTAACTGGGATTCTTTCACTTAGAATGTAATTTTAAAATAACGTTACAATCCTATCTATGTTAAGTACTTGAATTTATGTCAATAAATTCACTTGAAAAGTTAAACTGAAAGAAAAAAACAATAAATATGATAGTACTCTTTTTATCTTGGCTATTTTCTAAAAAGTATGTAACCATATTAATATACTTAAGCCAATGATTCCAAGAATAGAAAAGAATAAAATCACACATTTCATAAAAACCATATAAAATAACCACCTTACCCATATCATTAGCAAGGGAATTAGGATCAGATGCCCCTAGAGTAGCTTCAAACTCCTCTTGGAGACGATATGCTCTTTGCAGCAGAGCTTCAAGTTTATGGATAAATTCAGTACTAATAATATCCTATAAGGAGAGAAAAAGTAGACACAGCAAATATTAGATTTTAATGTTAAAATTCTAAACACTTTCCACTTTTAAATGAAAGGCAGAAAAGTGAGGGATATAAAAAAATACTGTTGGGTGGAGAGAATACTGTGATAGAAGTCAGGAGGCCTGGGTTCTAGCTGTGCCTCAGATAAAATCATCTCCATTTTGTAATCTGTAAAATTAAGGAGTTGGACTAGATCTCAAAGTAAGGTTCTCAAAGTAAGGTCCCTGAACCAGCAGCATCAGTATTACGTGGGAACTTGTTCGAATTGCAAATTAGAAATGAATTAGGAACCCTAAAGGTGGGACCCCCAAATCTATTTTTCAGCAAGCCTTTCAGAGGCTTCTGATGCATGCTCAAATTTGAGAATAACTAACCTAGATGAGTCTAGCTCTAACTCTGTGTGATTTTTATGTATATAATGGCACTTAATTAAATCCAAAGCACAAAACAGACTTGTAAAAATTCCTTTAGACATCATATCTGCTTAATTCTTTATTTTCTTGAAAAATCAGGAAACAATGATAAATTGCAAATTTGGGGTTTAACAACTAACCAAACAGGAAAAGCCCAGTAAGAAATATCCCCACACAATCCCAAGGAAGAAAAAATAAAGTTCTATTAAATGCCACAGAAATCAAATACACTGAATCAACATTAAAAGTAGTTCAACTCTTCCAATATTATGAAGACCACTCCCAAATAAATCATCCTTACATCTACACTTTCTTCTGCAATGGCATCTCCCGCACCCAATTTAATGGAACTACAGGCTTCGTCTTCAGCCTGTCTATTTCGAAAGGTTAGAGCTTGTTCCCATCGACGCAATGCCTCTTCAAACAATTCCATACCTAAAAATTGAGAACAGAACATTTTATTTTATTTTATTTTTCTGGCCATGCCACATGGCTTGCAGGATCTTAGTTCCCCAACCAGGGACTGAACCCAGGCCCCCGCAGTGAAAGTGCTGAGTCCTAACCACTGGACTGCCTGCGATTTCCCAAGAACAGAGCAATTTTATTAATTTTTAAAAGTTTTTAAATTTATTTGGTTGCATTGGATCTTTGTTGCTGCACGCGGGCTTTCTCTAGTTGCATCAAGCAGGGACTACTCTTTGTTGTGGTGCGCAGGCTTCTCATTGCAGTGGTTTCTCTTGCTGCAGAGCTCGGGCTTTAGGCGCGCTGGCTTCAGTAGTTGTGGCTTGTGGGCTCTAGAGCGCAGGCTCAGTAGTTGGATCGAACCCACGACCCCTGTATTGGCAGGCAGATTCTTAACCACTGCGCCACCAGGGAAGTCCCAAGGACAGAACAATTTTAAATAAGTGAAATCAATACCAAAATCATTTTCGATCTAAAGTGTTTTTCATACAGTTAGCACCAATGGCACAGTGTGACTGTAATTTTGGCACTAAAGAATGAAATTTATGCTCACATCATTTCTTAACAGAATCTTAATATCCCAATACATTCCACGTCTACAGATGTAGTCAACCAACAATAAGAAATGACTAATATGTTTTCCCTTTTTAAAATATGTAACTCAAAGCTATACGGTGCTTGGAATTTTTCTAAAAAAATATCATGAATTCATCAAAAGTCCTAACAATAATGGCTAATTTTTATAGTCACATAACTATCTTTCAAAATATCCCCCTAAATGAAAAAGAAAACTGATGGGCAAATAGAAGAAACTAGTTGATAAGAAACTATCAGGTTTACAAGAGGTTCTCAGAAGGAGAGAGTAAAGCTAAGAAGAAAGATAGCAGCACAGAGGTCCAGAATAAAGTCCTTTCTATCTTTTTTTCCACCAAAAGGTGTCTTAGACCACGTTGACACCAACTTGCTGATTTGGATGGATAAAGTGCTGGGCCAGAGCTAAAAATATACAAGAAGAACCAATAAAGGTTTACAATCTGAGTAGGAATTTCATATCCCTCCTTATAGAAAGCTTTTGTGGGAAAATAGGTGAATATGTGCCTCTTTTTCTCCAAATTTAAAAAAAAAAGGCTTACCAAAATAATTATGCACTCCAGGCCACAACAGTGAGAGGCCCACATACCCCCCCAAAAAAATAATAATTATGCACTTCAAACAAAACCAAAATATTTCAAAACCTCAATTTTTCTAGACATATAAAAGTAAAAGATCTTTAAAAGCTGCTTAAGAATCTGACCAAGTCATTCTGAAGATGTTTTTAAGATGGTAGCTAGAGAATACCTGTCCTTGAAAATCATTTCTTCAGTTATCTGGAGAACCTACAACTCTAAACAAATAAGATGTTCTTTAAACGAAATGTAGGCCTTAAATTGTTTAATTTTCTGTAGCAAAGAATCATTGTCTGGATCTTCCTTCTAAAAACTTTACTCACTTAAAAGACTTCCTTTTTCCAAGCTATACAATTCTAATTCCTTCATCCTCCTCTCACTCCATCCACTCTCTATCCTGATTATTTTGGCTAAATATAAGGAAGAATTATCTAACAGCAGAGCTGTCCAAAGATAAAAGTTACCTCTCAGGAAGTACTGTGCCTCACTTGACTGCAGAATGTGGCCCAAACTGTCACATATCAGCAGTTTTGTAACAGGAATTCAAACATGTTACCAATATATTTTTTATGTCATCAACACTGTGAATGTGGGAACTGAAACAATAGGTGGGAATTGAAACAATATTTCCTACCAATCCTAATTCAATGACACTGAGACTCCCTGCAGCTTCCCTAGTTTTACTCTATTTCTCTTCAATTCTAACTCTCAATATTTCTACAGAAGTATTGAGTGGAGGTTTACTAGGCATAGTTAAGCTAGAAACATAGTGAGCTTAATTCTCAGAAGACCTGGAAAAGGTGGCAGAAGAACTACTCCTATATCTTTCCCTCCGTGCAGTATTACCTACTGTGACATCACGGCGGATGATACAGTCTTTTTTTTTTTAACATCTTTATTGGAGTATAATTGCTTTACAGATGATATAGTCTTTAACTATTCTAGAGTGTGGGAATGCGTGCAGGCACACAGTCCTTCTGCCAACTCACCATCCCCTTACTACTCACTAGCCAAGGCCACATCAAGATTTTTTTGGTTTTGTTTTTTAGTTAGTATGCATTTCCCTTAAAAGGAATATAGCCTGAAATAGAGTACAGAAGAACAGGGGAATGGATTTGAAAATGCACTTGAATCTGATTTGGTGTTAAGGTCCCTGGTTCTCTTTCTGGGCTCCAGTGAGACTTTCTAGACATGCTCATGTTTGAGCTGTAAACACAGGCCTCTTTCCATCTAAAATCCTTTCTAGATATAGGAAGAATACAAATGATATCTAGATAAAAGACTACATAAAGTGGATTTTGATAGATTCATTAGATAAAAGTCAACAGATTAGGTTAGGTAAGTGTAATAGATTGAATAATAACCACCCAAAGATATCAGGCCCTAGTCTCTGGAACTTGTAAACGTTACCATACAAGAAAAAAGTGTCTTTGCAGATGTGATTAAATTAAGAATCTTAACATGGGGAGATTATCCTAAATTACCTGGTGGGCTCTAGATCCAATCACAACCATTCTTACAAAAGAGAGGCAGAGGGAGATTTGATACACACAGTGAAGAGGAAGGCAGAGATTTAGAGTCATGTGGCCACAAGCCTGAAGCCACCAGAAGCTGGAAGAGGCACGGAATGAATTCTCTTCCAAGCCTCCAGAGCGAGCATGGCCCAAATGCCACCTTGATTTCAGCCCAGTGATAATGATTTCAGACTTCAGGCCTCCAGAACTCTGAAAGAATATATTTCTATTGTTATAAGCCACCAAGTTTGTGGTAATTTTAACAGTAGCCTCAGGAAGCTAACACAACATGTTATGTTATGTAGACTAGAGTCAACAGATGAGAACATTTTAGAATTATAGTTGCTTCCCTTAGAACAATTCATCATTCTTCTGTTTCACATTAAATGTGAGTACAGTATCTTAAAACTTCATTAGATTATTCCTACCCATCAAGTATAGGTTCTCAGGAGTGGTCACAGGAATATTAACAAGTTTAATATCATCTTCATCTGCTTTGTCCCAGGAATTAGAATTGCCACAAGCACAGCTATGACAAGAATTGACACTCTGGACCTAAAATTAAAATGGAGAGAAGTTACTTCAAAATCTCTTTTGTAATAGTATTTTGCGATGTTTTATATTTATAAATTATTTATGTAAATCCTAATCCTGGTATAACAACCCATGGAATTTCTACCTGAAGAAATAAATCTGATTATATTCAGTCAAACTTAAGAGTCATAAGGCCCTAAGTATTCTGAACCCTTGTTTGCTCAAAAATATACAACTAGAACAATATTTTGAACATAAATCAGATATTTCCATCAAAAAGCAAGCAGTTATTTTTATAGTTTACTGTCATTAAGTATTTACTTATAAATTTTATCCACACCTACTTTGATTTGAGGTAGCTAGCTTATTTTCCTTTTAGAACTTATTACAATGCTGATTCTCTACTATGTAATAACGAAAATCGAAAAGCCTCTGTCATCTTCCCTTCTCTAGCAAGGTCCGCTGAGCCAATCATTTCAGTCACCTCTATGCAAATGACTCCCAAATCTTGAACTTCAATTCTGTCCTGTTTTGAGAAATCTAAGCCCACACTTCCACCTGCCTATTTGGTGACTCCACTTGGCTCTTCTGTTGGCATCTCAAAATGACTATATCAAAAAAGAGCTCTGCATCTTCCCACAACAAAAACTCTTCCTCCTCCCACGTTCACTAACAGTACTTTTATCTCCATAATTCCTCAAACTAGATAACAAGAAGTCTTCTCTAACCTCTCTTCCCACACCTCTCATATCCAGTTACCAAGTTTTGTGGACCCTGTTCCCTCCTCTTCCACTCCTGTTGTCATGACCCTCACTGAGGCACTCATTAAGAGGCAGAAATCTGGGTTCACAGTCCTGGCAGTGGAATGACTAGGTCAGCTAAGGCACATATAGTAAAGTGATTCTAAAGACTTCTTACTTATACTATTACCATAAACTACTTTTCTCTAGTCAAGAACAGCTTCAACTTTCAGTTGAGAAAATTCAACACAGAGGTACCCCAGATTATAGAATGGGCATATACTTCATTATCCAGCTCAGTTTCACAGACGAATTGAGAGTCTGCATGCCTTTGATCTAGATGTTCCTACCACAGAATAGTCTTTAAAAATTTGGTATATTTTTAGGCATTTAAGAATGGGGCAGCTGTACATTCCAACGAAATACAGAAGCAAGGTATGAAACAGATTATGGTATTCTATAAAGTATTTTTTAATTTTTTAAACTATTTCTTTTAATGAATATACATGATGGTAGAGGCATATTCTCCCTGGAAGTATACACATAAGAAATTGTCAGTGTCCGTCTCTAAGGAGGGGAATTGAGAGGATCAGGAGCACATTTTTCACTGTTTGCTTTTTGCCTCTTCTTTATTTAGTAGGAAGTGTGTATCCTACCTAATTTTTAAAATAATTTTTAAAACTACATTAGATTTAAACAAATATTAACTTCATTTTTTCACCTGTCAATCAATACTATATTAATGCTGTCAAGAAAGAGGTGAAGAACTCCACACTTGGCAGGTTCATCAAGTGATTTTTGTGACCTAGTACCATGTTTGCTGCATCTTCTAGCTTTCTGCAGAGCATCTAGCTTTGAAGCAACACTTCTATACCAACATCATCCTCAGAAGACCCCATGGGACCACATCACTTAAGTCAAACAAACCTGGAACCAAGCTGGCTGAATATTTAGCAAAAGGAAAATTTTACCTGCCTGAAGAAAACAGGATCAACCAGATTTCTTAAGCTTCTTGCCATACTAAGAGCTATTTATAACTGTATGACATTTAAACCAATAGATAATAGATATATAAATAGTTAAAAGAAAAAACTAATAAAAATTTTTTCTTTACTTACAGAGGCCAAACTCTGTGCAGAACCTGAGTATTTACTGAAGAGTCCTCCATTAGCATAATTATAAGACTGAGATCCTTTGTCTTTGGCAGAACTTAAAGATAGTGTCAAATTCTGTCTACTACTGGAACAACTTGAACCTACCAAACAAACATATTAATATTAAAAGTATCAATAACTCCAATGATAAATTTCAGGTAAAATTTCAAAGTTTATATATTCATTCAGAGGGTTCATTTTAAAACACATTTCCCTCAATTGTGTAAATTATTAGATGTATACCATTATTAAAATCTATATCTCTATATGTTTTTAACACTGCTAAAATCTGATTCTGAAATGAAGATTAAAACATTCATCAATTACTCAAGGTGGTATTTGAATGGTCTACTGTAATCAGCATAAAAATACTGGCAACTATGAACCTTCAGATTATAAATTTAACAAAATATAACCACTTCTTTCCTGAATTACCTCTAAACTTTATCCTTATCACATTATACTGTAATCAGTCTTTTTATACGTCTGTCTCCCCTAACCATCTACCCATTCATCTAGGGCAGACACTGTGCCTTAGTTTATCTTAATGCAGCAGTTAAGATACTCCTCAATTCAAATCCTTGCACTTATTAGTTATATGAACTTGAGCAAGTCACTCAACTTTTCCATACCTCAATTTTCTTTAGGTGTAAAATGGGAAGAACAACATAGGATTATAGTCCTAATTCACAGGATTGTTATAAAGGTTAAATTAACACAGTGAATATATAGCATGTAGCACTGCACCCGAGGTCTAATAAAACATCAGTAAGTGAGAGGCATCATTATTGTTGTAATGTTCACTACACTTGGCACAAAATAGTCATTCATTAATTATTTGTTGGGCCAACAAATCACAAAATCATATGATAAATCAAATAATAAATTTAAAATAATTTAAAATTCAAAAATAAATCCACATGCTCAAGAAATTATTTCTATTGATACAATTTGATAATATGTATCAGATCTCTAACAAAAACTATAAATGCTTTAAAGGCCAGCAATTCTACTTCTAGAACTTTATAAACTTAGGAAATAAACCAGACAAGTATATGCAAAGCAAGAAAAACAACCTAAAGAGAACAACAGGGAACTGGTTAAATAATTAGAGTACATTTGTACACTAAATACATATTAAAAATGATAGCACAGAGATATATTTATTGACATTTAAAGATATTCTTATATAATGTTAAATATTTTAAAGGCAGGTTACAAAAGGTATGAATTTTACTTAAAATGCATAAATTATTTACTTGTATATAATATAAAATTTTATGTCTCAATATGATATTTAAGTGCAAATATAAATGGATAGATATATACCAAAGTATTAGCAGTATTTATTTCTGGGTAGCAGAATTTCAAGTGATTTTAATTTTTTCTGTTTGCTTGTCTGTATTTTCTAATCTTTCTAAAATTAATCTGTATTACTTGTGAGTTAAATATTAAGCAAGGAAATTGTGGAAACTAAAACACTGAAATCACTGCACTCCAGTAATGATTTACATGTAAAATTTCCTTTGCAGACTTAATTCAGCTCTTTCTACATACCTTTGTCTGATGCTGCTCTTTTAGTGTATTCAAGTATGAGATGCTCTGGTTCCCATGGTAATATCTTTCCTTTCTTCTTTCCACGCCTTCTTTTAAAGTGACGGGCCAGAAAAATTACAGATACAACACTCACTGCAGTTACCACAAATAACTTTTTAGCTACTGGCGAAAATTTGATCTGGAAAAGATGCAATTAGATTGAAAAAAAGTCTTATTTGTTTGTTTAAAATCGACATAAGGACTAAAATTATTCTTAAGCTAATCTAGTTCTAACTACTACCAAGATAATATTATTTTACTCTTTCAATGACAACTAGCCCAATTTGAATTTTAAAGACAAACCCAAAAAATGTAGTAATTTATTATCCACTGCTCCGCAGTTCTCAGATAAATAATAATGCCCAAAAAGTTACCAGGAGCACAAAATAATTCAATCCCATTAATATCTGTTGAACAACTAATGATTAATTCATGCAACTCAATCTTCTATCTGAATCACAGCAAGATTTTTAACTGCAGGAATGATTAAATCAGACTTTTAAAATGAACCAAGTTTTTAAAACTATCTGGAAATGTGGGCAAACATAAATTAACTCAATTTATAAATATCATTTAAATAAGCCCTTTTATTCATGAATTAATCAACAAATATTTACTCAGCATCTTACAATATACCAGGACTGTGCTATGAAAATGAAAATTAAAATCTTAGTATAATTCTATTCAATAAGCATATATCAAATGTCTTTCATTTATCAAGAAGCACCAGGGGGCTTCCCTGGTGGTGCAGTGGTTGAGAGTCCGCCTGCCGATGCAGGGGACACGGGTTCGTGCCCCGATCCGGGAGGATCCCACATGCCGCGGAGCGGCTAGTCACGTGAGCCATGGCCGCTGAGCCTGCGCATCCGGAGCCTGTGCTCAGTGAGAGGCCCACGTACCGCAAAAAGAAAAAAATAAATAAATAAATAAAAAGAAGCACCAGGTATACAGAGGATACAGATCTTGCTTCCCTAGAGTGTACTAATAGTAAAGACAAATATACAAATAATGTATTACAAATAATTACAGTGTGATAAATACAGTAATATAAGTATGTACTAAGTACTAACATAAGAGCAAGAGGTAATTAACTTTGTCTTGAGGGACAAACACTATTAATCACCTAAAATGCAAAAGAACTTTAAAATAAAGCTATAGGCTTGGGGATGTAGAAAGCTAGAAAGAGGGTCACTTCCAACCTTCCAAAAACAAAAAAGCCAAATGACAAATTCTCAATTTTTTTGAACCCATCAGAATGCAGAAGTTGGAGGGTAATCAACCGGCCCCAAAACTAAGAAGACACAGGTTTTCACCCGGAGAGATAAGACATGAACACTGACATGCAGGAAGAAGTCATATCAGGATATCAGTAAGAAGAGTTCAGCTAGCATGGTTGGTAAATTGGTGGAGACTGAGAGTGTACTGGTGAAAGACAGTGAATCACCCTTCCCAGGGGGGCACGTATGGTGAAAATATAAGGGTAATTCACACTTTTTGGACGTTTTTATCTTCATGAATCCCACCAAGCACACACAGAAAAGACTGCAAGAGTTGTAGGAAAGTCTTCCTAATGGTGAACTGCGGAAGGGAAACAGGAATTTTTGTTGAGGGACATGAACTGTATCAGTACCCTTCTCTTTTGTCCCCCAAAAGGAACAAACGCCTTAAACTGTGGGATGAAGTTTTAACTTTAGAGGGAAATTTATACCATTAAATGTTTATATTAAGAAAAAAAGAAAGGTGTTGAATCCATAATCTGAGCTTTGACCTTAGAAAAAGAAGACCAAATCCAATCTAAAGCAAGCAGAAAATTAGGAAGTAATGAAGACGACACAGAAATCAATGAAATGGAAAACCAACTCAATAAAATCAAGAGTTGTTTGGGTTTTTTAATTTTTTATTTTTTATTGTTTTGGCTGCGCTGCGCAGCTTGCAGAATCTTAGTTTCCTGACCAGGGATCAAACCCAGGCCCTGGACAGTGGAAGTTCAGAGTCCCAACCATGGGACCACCAGGGAATTCCTGGTTTTGTTTTGTTTTGTTTTGTTTAATTTATTTTATTTATTTATTCTTGGCTGTGTTGGGTCTTCACTGCTGTGCACGGGCTCTCTAGTTGCGGTGCAGGGGCTACTCTGCCTTGCGGTGTGCGAGCTTCTCATTGCGGTGGCTTCTCTTGTTGTGGAGCATGGGCTCTAGGCACACGGGCTTCAGCAGTTGTGGCACGTGGGCTCAGTAGTTGTGGCTTGCGGGCTCTAGAGCGCAGGCTCAGTAGTTGTGGCGCAAGGGCTTAGCTGCTCCGCGGCATGTGCTCCGCAGCAAGCCCTTCCCAGACCAGGGCTTGAACCCGTCCGTGTCCCCTGCATTGACAGGCAGATTCTTAACCACTGTGCCAACAGGGAAGCCCCTAGGTTTTTTTTTTAATAAATAAAACTGATAAACCTCTAGTCGGTCTGATCAAAAAGAAAGGGAGCAAGAAAAGATACATATTACCAAAATCAGAAATGAAAGAAGGGCCACCACTACAGACCTCACAGATATGAAAAGGATTAAAAAAAAATGATTACTATGAACAACTCTATGCCCATAAATTCAACAACTTAGATAAAACGGACTAATTCCTTAAAAGAGAGAACCCATCAAATTTACTCAGGAAGGCGCTTCCCTGGTGGCACAGTGGTAGGAATCCGCCCGCCAATGCAGGGGACAAGGGTTCAATCCCTGCCCCGGGAAGATCCCACATGCTGCAGAGCAACTAAGCCCATGCCACAACTACTGAGCCTGTGCTCTACAGTCCGCAAGCCACAACTACTGAGCCCGTGTGCCACACTACTGAAGCCCATGTGCCTAGAGCCTGTGCTCTGCAACAAGGGAAGCCACTGCAATGAGATGCCTGTGCACCGCAATGAAGAGTAGCCTCCACTGGCCACAACTAGAGAAAGCCTGCGCGCAGCAACGAAGACCCAACACAGCCCAAAATAAATAAATTTGGAAAAAAAAAGTTACTCAAGAAGAAATAGATAGCATGAATATTTACATACCTACTAAAGAAACTGAATATGTAGTTAAAAATCTTCTAACAAAGCAAATTATAAGCCAAATTCTACCAAATATTCAAGGAAGAAATATCAAATCCTACAAAGAAGGAACACTTCCCAATCATTTTACAAACCCAGCATTACTATTAACATCAAAACAAAGACATTACAAAAACAAAAACAAACCTACAGACCAACATTGATAGATGCAGAAATCCTTCATAAAATATTAACAAATCAAATCCAGCAATATATAAAAAGAATAATATATATGATCAAATGGTGTATATCCTAGGAATTCAAATCTGGTTCAACATTCAAAAACTAATCAATATACTTCAACATAATAATAAACTAAGGAAGAAAAGCCATAATATAATCTCAATATATTAAAAAAGAAGTATCAATATGAACTCATGTTTTGTTTTTTCTGTTTAATATATACAGATAGACAAATTCAGAAATACAGTTGTGTATAAATACACTGATCAGTATGCATTCACACATACCCCAGTTCTGTCTCCTAAGAGGGACTAGAAATAGCAACATCCCAGTAGCAACGCACACACCTTGCATCCAGATCTTAGTTTCTAATTGCCAGAGACTAAAGAGAACTAAATATGGAGACTAAAGAGAGCCAAAGCTCCCCGGAAAAGTGGGTATTTCCAGGATTGAGGCAGAGAAAATACAAAATGAACCTGGAAAGGAAAAAAAAAAAGAAGAGGGCATGTCAGGCATGTAAAAAGACAAAGGAGGGCTTCCCTGGTGGAGCAGTGGTTGAGAGTCCGCCTGCCGATGCAGGGGACACGGGTTCGTGCCCCAATCCAGGAAGATCCCACATGCCGCGGAGTGGCTGGGCCCGTGGGCCATGGCCGCCGAGCCTGCGCATCCGGGGACTGTGCTCCGCAACGGGAGAGGCCACAACAGTGAGAGGCCGGCGTACCGCAAAAAAAAAAAAAAAAAAAAAAAAAAAAAAAGGACCCACCTGCCAATGCAGGGGACACGGGCTCGAGCCCTGGTCCGGGAAGATAAAAAAAAAAAAAAAAAAAAAAGACACAGGAGCCAACCTGAAAGAGCTTCCAAAGCCAAATATGGAACAATTTGACCAACAAAATAAATAACAGTATTAGATTATAAACCAAAGAACAAAATAAATACCCAAACTGATATAAATCAATAATTGAATAAATTAATAAAAGGGACAACTCTCCCTTACAGAATAATTTTAAATAATGAGTGTAGAAGGAATAAAGGAAACAGAAAATCACCAATAAACGCTATGGTAATAACTGTTAAGGCAAGATTCACTACTAAGTGCTAAAATTAGGGGATAGGGACTTCCCTGGTGGCTCAGTATTTAAGAATCTGCCTGCCAATGCAGGGGACAAGGGTTCAATCCCCGGTCCAGGAAGATCCCTGGACATGCCACAGAGCAACTAAGCCCGTGCGCCACAACTACTGAGCCTGCATGCAACAAGTACTGAGGTGTGCATGCCACAACTACTGAAGCCCACGGGCCTAGAGCCCAAGCTCTGAAACAAGAGAAGCCACTGCAATGAGAAGCCTGTGCACCACAGTGAAGAGTAGCCCCTGCTCGCCGCAACCAGAGAAAGCCCGCGCACAGCCAACGAAGACCCAACGCAGCCAGAAATAAATAAATAAATAAATAAAATTTATTAAAAATAAATAAATAAATAAAATTAGGGGACAAAAGTTTAAGGAGAAACAATATATTTGCATAGTCTAAAAGCACCCACCTCCAAATTTATTTACAAAGAGAAAAGACAGCAGAAAAACTTTAATCAAGTGATCAAGGTTAACATCACCTGTAAAAGACATATACACATCATCATGTATCCCCTGACATAATGCACTGTGGTTTTGTGTCAAAAATGAATAATCTCAATGCAATCCTGAGAAAACATCAGACAAATTCAATTGAGGGACAGTCTATAAAATGCCTAATTTGTACTCTTCAAAAGTGTCAAGCATAAAAGGCAAGGAAAGATTGAAGGAACTGTCACAGATTGAAGAAGACTAAGGAGACTTAACAACTAAAAGCAATGTGGAAAAAGCAATGAAATTTAAGTAATTACATAAAAAAA